GTGGCATCACAGCTCACAGCAACCTCCAACTCCTGGGCTCAAGCGAGTCTTCTGCCTCAGCCTCCCAAGTAGCTGGGACCATAGACGCCAGCCACAATGCCCGGTGGTTGCAGCCGTCGTTGTTGTTTTTGGCGGGCCTGGATTCAAACCGTCACCTTAGGTGTATGTGGCTGGCAGCGCCTTAGCCACTTGAGCCACAGGCGCCAAGTCACAGGTCCAATTTATAAGAGATTAAAGCTCTTTGCCCTAGGCCAGGTGAGTGGTTCTCATGCCTATAATCCTAGCACTCTGGGAGGCTGAGGTAAGTGGATTGCCTGAGTTTAGGAGTTTGAGACCAGCCTGAGCAAGATTGAGACCCCTGTCTCTAAAAGACAATGTAAGAGAATTGCTTGAGTCCAAGAGTTTGAGGTTGCTGTGAGCTATGATGCCACAGCACTCTATTGAGGGTGACAAACTGGGCCTCTGCCTCAAAAAAAAAAAAAAAGAAAAGAAAAGAAAAAGCTCTTTGACCTAGAGCATACTTGGGCTTATGGGTTTTATGCTTCATTTAAAAAAGACATTAATTTAAAACTCTATTTTTGTGGTTTTTTCTTTCTTTTTCTGCTCTGTATCAGGAGAGAAGGCAGGCTTCTGCCAGAGGTCTGCTCTTCCTCTCTCTGTCTCTGCATCTCTAGTTGTGTGAGCTATATTAAAGGAGAGGGAAAGTGGAAATGACCCATGGGACTACTGTTGCTTCTCAAGGTTTTTATGAATACAAGAGAGAACTTTTCTTTTTTCTCAGTGGCTCCAGCAGGAATGAGTTGAAATAGGAGAATTGCTCAGGTTTAAAATGTTTATATAAATAATTATGCTGTTGATATTTGGATCTGTTTTATAAATTGTTACTGGAAGCTGTTGTGACACATCCTTTTGTTTGCCTTCTTTTAAGTTTTTAATTGACTGCCACTGCCTTAGTGGTTAAAAAGGATGATATTTAGATCAGAGTTTTGGTCTGACTTTCACAGATAGTTCTGTTCTCTTGCATAACTGCATGTGTTTTCTGAATTCATTGCACATTTAATGGGAAGATTGGGTTGATGTTTAAATAGATTTGTAGGAACTATGCTAGCATGAATAGGCAAAGAGTCCTGTTTTGATAAGTCAGTAACATCATTTTCATAGTTGGACATCATTAAAAGAAATCTCATTTGGTAATGGCTTAATTTTTTTGCTATCCTTATTTCCACGTGATGTGTTTCTTTACTAAAGCACATATTAATAACTGCCTGTTTTTTGAACATTTGTGTGTTTGAACAGATGCCAAAGTAGAGGCATTTGTATCCAGTCATCTCTGGCAAAAGTGTCCTCCAAAAAGGTAAATGAGAAAGATGTTGATAAGTTTCTTCTCTACCAGAATTTTTCATGCAACATAAGAAACATCCAGCATCATCAGGTAATTAAGGAAACTGCTTGTGCTCGTTGATAGTAGTATTGTAGTAATAATAGTTTGCATTTGCCTGCTACTCTACATACTAAGGATTTAAGGAATTTTATGTCAGCTATTTTCTTTTTTTCTTTATATAAATTGTCAGTGTGCTTTCATTTCACAAATTGGGAGCTATAGACTTGGAAAAGTTAGTATCTGACACTGAAAATTATTAGCAGAGCTGACCGTATAATGACTCAGATATGTATCTTGACTACTGACTGGTGATCTTTCCTGCTCCTGCTCCCCATTTGGTAGAATTTGAGATCAATTCTGCATCTCTTCCAGGTGAAATACAAATCAGAAATACCTGATTTAGAATAAAGTATGAGAAATCTTACTTGGTCGTATAAACCAGATTCATTGTATCTCAGTCTTTTAATTTCATTTTGTAGTTTACTAATTTTTTTCCTAATTAAGTTATAGACTGTATCTATATTGTGGAATGTGGCTTTTAAATCACATAGGGACAAAAAAGAAAAATTACAAACCAAAAATACATTAATGCTGACTTTTATATTTACATATATAGTACTCTTTTTTTTTTTGAGACGGAGCCTCAAGCTATCCCCCTGGGTAGAGTGCCATGGCATCACGCTCATAGCAACCTCTAACTCCTGGGCTCAAGCGAGTCTCCTGCCTCCGCCTCCCAAGTAGCTGGGACTACAGGTGCCCGCCACAACGCCTGGCCATTTTTTGGTTGCAGCCATCATTGTTGTTTTGCGGGCCTGGGCTGGGGATTCGAACCCGCTACCTTAGGTGTATGTGGCTGGCGCCTTAGCCGCTTGAGCCACAGGCGCCGAGCCCATATATAGTACTCTTACCAGTATTCTTTATTTCTTTGTGTGTCCTTGAGTTACTGCCTAGTGTTCTTTCATTTAAGCTTGGAGGAACTTCCTGTAGTATTTCATATAAGGCAGGTCTACAATGAAAATATCTCTAGGTTTTGTTTTTCTGAAAAACCGTGCTTAAATTACAATATGCACTTAACATAAGATATACAATCTTAGGCATTCTTAAGTGTATAATTCAGTAATATTAAGTGTAGATAGTCACATTGTGGTATAACCACGCTCTAGATCTTTTTCATCTTATAAAACTGAAACTCTGTACCCATTAAACATTTCCTTTATTTTTGAAGGATAATTTTTCTGGATATAGAACTTTTGGTTGACAGTTTTTTTTCCTTCTTTTAATACTTTGATGACATCATCCACTGTTTTATAGTTAAATCAGTCGAGCATTCTAAACTCTTCTTGATTCTGGTGTATAATTCTTTTTATATATTTTCTGGATTTGGTTTGCTAATATTAAAGATTATTACATCTGTATTCATAGGAGATATTAGTCTAGTTTTTTGGGGGACATCTTATCTGGTTTTCATATCAGGATAATACTGACCTCAAAGAAGGTATTGGGAAATTTTCCCATAAAAGTTTGTGGAGAGTTGATATTCACTATTTTTTAAATGTTTGGTGGACTTTGATGCTAGAACTATCTGGGCCTGAAAATTATTTTGTGGGGAAATTAAAATTGCTAATTCTGTATCTTTACTTGCCATAGATCTGTTAGGTTTTCTATTTTTTTGGATTTGATTTAGGTAGTTGGGTTAGTCATTTGTCCATAGCTGTTATATAATTTGGCATACAGTTGTTCATAGTATTTTCCTATGATCCTCTTTATTCTTATGAGGTCCATAGTAATGGTCTCTCTTTTGTTCTTGATTTTGGTAGTTTAAGTGTTTTCTCTTTTTTTCTTGGTTAGCCTAGCATTTGTTGATATTTTCAAAGAATGGACTTTTAATTTTGTTAATATTCTCTATTTTCCTATTCTAATTAATTTTTACCCTATTATTATTTCTTTTCTTGGTTATGTTTATACTTCTTTAGAGTATATTTTCCTTTTAATATAATATATTTAATAGCATGGTTGATCTGAGTTTAATTTCCTCCTTTGCTACCTGCTACCTTTGTGATTCAGTACCAGTTAGTGTCACATAAATTCTTATATAAAATGAAGATGGTAATACAAACATCACTGGAGGCTGTATGATTACTTGAGATAATCATACTTAAAGTACTTAAGGTGCTTAGATGGACCCTATAATTAGTAAGTGCTCAATTGTAGCAATTGGTAGCTATTGAATATTTCATGTAGGATTTTGCATGTTTGTATTTATATCAACACAAATTATCTTTTTTACATTTATAAAAAATACATCTTTCAACTCCAGATGGTTAAAAATTTTCAATGGGTAGAATCTGAAATGAGATTTTAGATCACCAAATTCTGTTCTTTTTTTTTTTTTTTTTTTTTTTGAGACAGAGCCTCAAGCTGTCCCCCTGGGTAGAGTGCTGTGGCATTACAGCTCACAGCAACCTC